GCATAGCTATCTGGCTCTGATATCAACCTAGCACTGATATCATGAGTCTGTGGCATCCTGACCTAATTACCTCTGAATTCTTCATCTACTAACACCATCACCTTGGGAGTTAGGATTTCAACATGTGAATTTTGGAGAACCATAAACATTCAGACCATGGTAGATATATGCATTTCCTTAGGAAATGCAGCTTAGGAAAATTATGTCACTTAAATCATTAAAAATATGTGGAAGGAGCAAAGCAAGATGGCTAAATAGAAACCTATACTGTTTATTTTCTCCACAGGAGCACCAAATTTTAACAACTAACTAGACATAAAAAGCAGTGATACAGGAACAAAAAATTAGGTGAGCCATAAAGCACCTTAATAGAAAAATTAAATTTAAATAGCAAAGTAAGCACTAAATGCACCATCAGAAGGTGCAAAAATCAGGTGAGCACTCATAGTATCTAGTTCTAACTTTTTATTGCAAAAAGAGCCAGTGAAATGGGATAAAAGACACAGCTGTGTATTGCTGACACCATTTGTCTCCCAGCTCTGAACAGCAGTCCTTGGTGTGGAGAATCTTCATACTTAGGACAGAGAAACTCAATTACTGGGGGACTTTACATTGAACTCAGTGGTTCTTTGTCACAGCAGAATGTAAACAGTACCCAGATGATCTCTGCCTATGGAGAGAGCTTTTGGATCAGCCCTAGAGAGAGGGGAGTCACCCATTCCAGTGGTCAAAGTATGAGCCATGATAAGCCTACCACCATGGGCTAAAGAGCTCTGGGATCCTAAGTAAACTTGAGGAGCAGTCCAGGCCGCAAGTATTGCAATTCTTTGGCAAGTTATTGTTCTGAGTTGGGTTCAGAGCCAGTGAACTGGGAGGGCACATGACCTACTGAGACACCAGCCATGACAGCTAAGGTAGCACTTGAGCCACCTTTTCCCCATCACGTGGCAGTGACCATGGGGCACAGAGAACTCCATGTGATTGGAAGAGGGAGAGTTCAGGGATTGTCAGACTTTACACTGAACTCAGTGCTGGCCTGTTATAGCAGAGAGGAAAAGTTGTGGTAGGCTCAGCAGTGCCTGCAAATGGAGGGAGCTCCTAGACCAGATCCAGGCGGAGGGGAATTGCCCATTCCAGCAGTCAGAACTTGAGTTCCTTGGCAGGCCTTGCCAGCATAAGCCAATGTGTTTAGGATACTACTTAAGCTTGAGAGGCAGTCTAAGATATAAGGACTGAACTTCCTGAGGAACTCCTACTGGTGACCTGGGCTTTGTTGAGACAATAGATTAGTCTGGCACATGACCTAGAGAGACACCAGAAAGGGCAGCTAAGGGAGTGGTTGTACGACTTCTCCAACAAACTCAGTCTGCACAGCTGACAGCAACAAGAGTGACTGCTTCCTTCTGTTTGAGGAGAAGAAACTAAAGAATAAAGAAGACTTCATCTTACACCTTGGATACCAGTGCAGCCACAGTAGCATAGGACACCAAGCAAAGTTGTGAAGCTTGCATTACAGGACTTAGCTCAAGGATGACATTTCCGGACACACCTTGGGCCAAAATAGAACCCAATTCCTTGAAGGAAAGGACCCAGTCCAGGCAGGATTCATCTCTTGATGACAAAAAGCCCTTGGTCCCAAAATAAGCAACAATGATGCCCAGGTGATAAGATATGGGCCTTGGGCTTTGAGATGTGCTGGCCTCAGAGGTGACCCAGCCTGCTCCCAGCTGTGGTGGTTATGATTAGACTCCTGTTTGAGAAAAGCAGTAAAAAAGTAAACAGCATTTTGTTTTGCACTTAGGTACCAGCTCAGTCAGTGAAATAGAGCCCTAAGCAGGTTCCTAGGGTCTGTGAGTTCAGGCCTATGCTCTTGATCAGCATTTCTGAGCATACCCTGAGCTAGAGGGTATCCCACTACCCTGAAAGGTGAATTTCAGGCCTAGAAGGATTCACTAGAGCCTGACTGAAGAGCCCTTGAGATTTAAGTTAACATCAGTGGTGGCCTGATAGAGCCCACTGTGGGCTGGTCATGCTGGTGGCTGTAGAGAGACATTCTTCTGCCCATGAAAAGAAGAAGGAAGAGCAAGAAGGACTTTCTACTGTGGTTTGAGTACAGTGTAGCAACAGTAGAATAGAACATCAGATGAATTTCAAAGGTGTTTTTCTCTAATTACTGGTTCCAAGACTGCATCTCTGTCCCTACCCAGGACCTAGGGAACTTGTCACACTGAAGGGAAAGACAGAATCCTGTCTGGCTTTGCCACCTGCTGAATGTAGAGCCCTGGAGACTTGAGTGAACAAATGTGTTTGCCAGGTAGTGGTTACTGTGGGCCTCCAGCAAGACTCAGTACTGTCCTGGCTTCAGGTTTGATTTAGCATTGTCCCAGTGTTGGTGGCCACAGAGAACCTTGTGCTTTCCCACCCCTAGTTCCAGGTGGTGCAGCACACACAGAGAAACTCCTTTCATTTCAGAAAGAGTAAGTGAAAGGAAAATAGTCTCTGCCTGGTAATTGGGAGAATTTTCCCAGACATTTTCCAACACCTCCAAGGGGGAACCTCTCCAATCTGCAAGTATGTCAGCATTATTGGATCTGGACCCCAAATTGCTTTGAGCACCTGGAAAGCCTACCCAAAAAAGACAGGCACAATCAAGCCCAGGCTGTGAAAACTGCAATAAATGCACAACTTGTCAATGCCCAGACACCCAAAAACATCTACAAGCATGAACCCATTTGGGAAAACATGACTTCACCAATAAACTGAATAAGGCATGATGGACCAATTTTTGAGAAAATGATAAGTGACCTTTCATATGGAAAATTCAAAATAGCTGTGTTGGGAGTTTAAAAATGTTCAAGATAACACAGGGAATGAATTCATAATTCTATCAGATAAGTTTAACAAAAAGACTGAAATTGTTAATTATTAAAGAGATCAAGCAATTAGAGTTGAAAAGTGAAATTAATATGCTGAAGAATGCATCAAGGTGTCTTAATAGCAGACCTGATCAAGCAGAAGAAAAAATTAGGGAGTTTGAAGACAGGCTATTTGAAAATACACAGCCAGAGGAGACAAATGGGAAAAAAAAAAAAAAAAAAAAAATGAAGCATGCCCACGAGGTCTAAAAAATAACTTGAAAAGGGTAAATCATGCATGAAGGAAAAATGAAGACCTTCCCAAACAAGCAAAAGCTTATGGATTTCACCAACACCAGACCTGTTCTATAAGAATTGTTAAAGAGAGCTCTTCAACATGAACAAGAAGAACTTTAATGAGTAATCATAGATCATGAGAAGATATAAAACTCACTGGTAATAGCACACAGAAAAACATAGAATATTCTTTTTTTTTGAGAAGGAGTTTCACTCTTGTTGCTCATGCTGGAGTGCAATCTTGGCTCACTGCAACCTCCACCTCCCAAGTTAAAGTGATTCTCCTGCCTCAGCCTCCTGAGTAGTTGGGATTACAGGCATGTGCCACCACACCTGGTTAATTTTTTGTATTTTTAGTAGAAACGAGGTTTCTCCATGTTGGTCAGCCTGGCCTTGAACTCCTGACCTCAGTTGATCTGCCCACTTTGGCCTTCCAGCATGCTGGGATTATAAGCATGAGCCACTGCACCCGGCCAAAAAAACAGAATATTCTAATATGTCAAACATGGTGTGTAAACTACTCTTATCTTCAATAGAAAGACAAAATGATGACCCAATCAAAAAGAAAAATTACAATAGCCCTTTGAGACAGACAGTAGAATAGAACATAAAAAAAAAAAAAACAAAAAGTTGAAGTGTACAGTTTTTATTAGTATTTTTATTTGCTTATTTGTTTGCTTATGCAATCAGTGTTGTCATCGGTTTAAAATAATGTATTATAAGAGAGTATTTGCAAGCCTCATGATAACCTCAAATTGAAAAACATACAATGAATATGCAAAATTTAAAAACATCAAATTAAGTGATAGAGAACATCAGCGTCACTAAAAGCAAGACAGAGAGGGAAGGAAAGAAGAAAGAGAACACCATAAAGCAATCATAAAATAAATAACAAAATAGCAGGAGTAAGTTCTTACTTATTAGTAATAACATTGAATGTACATAGACTAATCTCTTTAATCAAAACACATAGAGTGACCGAATGGATAAAAAAGCAAAACCCAGTGATCTGTTACCTACAAGAAACACACTTCACCTATAAAGATGCATATAAATTGAAAATGAAAACATAGAAATAGATATTCCATGCCACTGGAAACTAAAAGAGCTCAGGGTAGCTATTCTTATATTAGATAAAATAGATTTCAAGACAAAAACTGTAAAAAAAAGACAAAATATCATTATATAATGATAAAGAGGTCAATTCAGCAAGAGGATATTAAGAGAATTATAAATATATATGCATCCAACACTGGAGCACCCACATAAAACAAATATTATCAGAGCTACAGAGAGGGATAGAACTTGACACAATATTAGCTGAAGTCTTTAACATCCCACTTCCAGTTTTGGACAGATCATCCAGACAAAAAATCAACAAGAAATTTTAGACTTAATCTGCACTGTAGATCAAACAGACCTAATAGATGTTCACAGAACATTTTATCTGAGGGCTGCAAAATAAACATTCTTCTTCTCAGCACATGAATCATTCTCAAGAAGAGACATGTTAGGTCACAAAATAAGTATTAAAACATTAAAAAATTGAAATAATATCAAGCATCTTCTCTGGCCACAATGGAATAAAACCAGAAATCAATAAAAAGAGGAATTTGGAAACTATACAGATATATGGAAATTAAACTATATGCTCCTGAATGACCATTGGTCAATAAAGAAATTAAGAAGAAAATTGAAAGATTTCTTGAAAGAAATGATAATGGAGAAACAGCATACCAAAACCTATGGGAGCAGCAAAAGCAGTATCAAGACAGAAATTTATAGCTATATCTACATCAAAAAAGAAGGTTTTTTGGCGGCGGCGCTTTAAGGTGGGGTGTTCACATCTTGGCCACGAAGGCTCGGCCTGGGCAGCGTGGCGTCCGGGGCGAGTGTGGTGTCACCATTGGCACCACCAGCTCTGCTCCTGGGCTTCCCTTCTGCCCACTCAGGACCCACGGCCTCCGTGTCCTTCAGATGCACTGCTTGACCACTCCCATGCTGCTGCGGGCCCTGGCCCAGACTGCCCGTGCAGGACCTCCTGGTAGCCGGAGCCTCCATAGCAGTGCAGTGGCAGCCACCTACAAGCATGTGAACATGCAGGAGCCCAAGATGGACATGAAGTCAGTGACTGACTGGGCAGCCCAGACCCTGCTGTGGACCGAGCTCCTCTGAGGCCTGGCCATGACCCTGACCTACCTGTTCTGGGAGCAGGCTACCATTTACTATCCGTTCGAGAAGGGCCCACTGAGCCCTCACTTCCGTGGGGAGCATGCCCTGCGCTGGTACCCATCGGGGGAGGAGTGCTGCATTGCCTGCAAGCTTTGCGAGGCCATCTGCCCCGCCCAGGCCATCACCATCGATGCTGAGCCGAGAGCTGATGGCAGCCGCCGGACCACTTGCTACCACATCGACATGACCAAGTGCATCTACTGCGGCTTCTGCCAGGAAGCCCGCCCCGTGGACGCCATAGCCGAGGGCCCCAACTTTGAGTTATCCACGGAGACGCACGAGGAGCTGCTGTACAACAAGGAGAAGCTGCTCAACAATGGGAACAAGTGGGAGGCGGAGATCGCCGCCAACATCCAGGCTGACTACCTGTACCGGTGATGCCCCGCCCTCTGCCCGCAGCCTACTGCCCAGTGAAACCACTCTGACGCTAAAAAAAAAAAAAGTTTTTGTTTTATTGAACCTTTGTATTTTCTTGGTTTCTATTCGTTTATTTCTGCTCTGATAGTTATTATTTCTTTTCTTCTACTAATTTGGGTTGGCTTGCTCTTGCTTTTCTAGTTATTTAAGATGCATTGTTTTCAAACCATGTATCTGATAAGGTATTGATCTTCAAAATATTTAAGGAAGTCCTACAAATGAATTGTTTAAAAACCTCATAACCTGATTAAAAGATAGGCAAAGAAACTGAATAGATACTTCTCCAAAGAAAATATAAAATGGATAATGGGTATATGAAAAGGTGTTTAAACAATTACTAGTCATCAGAAAAATGCAAGTCAAAATCATAATGAAAAATTATCTCTGTGGCAAAATTCTTATAATTTTATGTTGCCTCCACATCCATTGTGAATCTTCTTTAAGTGTCTCATAAAGAAGCAGGGGTTAGTCACTCTTGACACAGTTTCCAGTTTTCTGTAGTCTCCCAGTTCCTCAGTGTATTCAATCCAGATATCTTCTTTACAGCTGCCTCCTTATGGGACATATAGATACAATCTATTCCACCTACTCCACTGACCCTCACACCTCTAAACCTCCATTGAGGTTTCTGAGAAAGTAGTCAAACAGGACACAGTACAGAAGCTAACATTTTACTGCCTTTGGATAAAGTCATTTGAGAATATAATGCTTAGAGCTCCAGAAACCAAACATCATGGTGAAGCCAAAATAATCACTTAGAATTCAAAGCAAAAATCATTAAAGGATTAAATAAATTAATATTTTTTATATCATCTAATAATGTATCATCATGTGTATTTCCACATTCTGTTATTTGAGGCCAAAAACATCTTAACTGTTGTATTTGATATTATTGAACTATTAAAAATCAGTAAAAAGAAAGTAATGGAGTTACTTCATCCATTTAGTGTAATTTATACTGATTAAATGACTCTTGCACAAACAGAATTTCTGTTTCAGAAATCCTTTTCACTGCTTAAGATGAACATGTAAAATAAATCTATCCAGCATGCCCATTAATTTATTTACTGAAAAGCAATGTATTTAGCTCTATATTAGTAGCAATCAAATGTTCTTCAGGAGCAATATTGAGATTCTCTTTTGCTTAATGCAGCTGAATGAGTTTAGTCTAAAATTTCAAACATTATAACACATTGATTAGATCTGAACCAACTACATTTTATTTGAAAAGGTGAAAACTTGGTTTTGGGAAACATTTTTGGATTATCCTTGAAAGTTCCATGATCTGAAATTTTTATGAGGAGATTTATGAAGAAATTTCCTTTAATGAAACTAGCTGTTATTTAAATATGCATATTGTGAGTGACAGTGTTTTCTATATTTATCCAGACAGAGGTTTGAGCCATTTTTCCTTAGGAGAGATAGGGGAGAAAAATGGTTTCCTTGCCTACACTACCCTTAAAGTTTTCCCTCTTTGCTCCCAGTCTTCCTCATGAGCATGTAATGTTGTTTGTAGAGTGTAAGTCTGTGCAAACACATCCTTTGTTTGTAGCCCTAAGGTATTTTAAAGTACTCAGGTCATACTTGGCTTCTAGCAATTCATTAAACATTGTAACTGAATCTTATCCACTTCTGTGTGGGTTCCATTTTTCCTGTACTCTGCCCCAAGGAAGGGAGTGCTTGTGTTCATCTCTCTCCTTGGAAGTCCATGTTTTTGTTTTTTTTTCTTAGATATCAGGTTATTTGCTTGGCTACCAGTCTCAACCCTGTAATATGTTCAAGATTTCATAGATTATGTGGCTTTTTCTTATTGTTAACAGGGTAGTGACACATTTTATAGCTTTTTACATTCTAAGCAGAAGCTGGAAGTTCTTCTCCCTTTCATTAAGGCAGCAAAAACTTGACACTAAAAGAACAGTAAACAGGAAATAAAATCAGTTTCAACTGTTTTGAACACAGATGCAGAATTACTGTGCCAACTATTGTAAAACTGAATCTAGTAACCAGAAAAAAAATGCCATTTTAAAATAATGTTTTTTAAAGATTAAGCATATTGGATACAAAGGTCAACTGTTTTCCTTCCCAAGGGGAAGCTGAGAGCTGGAATCTTTCCTCAGCCTCTTCTCTGCTAAGTAGATATGCCATTCTAAGGCATTGACCAGCCTCATCCTCCAGCTCCTTCTCCCCTAGGCAGCTAATCTATGGTCCTGTTAGAGAGCTGCTGTACGACAGAAAATATATATATATATAAAATGAGGTCAGGCATTGTACACTTAAAATATTGCTAAAAGGAATGAGCTTATATTAAGAGTTCTTACTATAATAAAATAAAGAAAAACAAAAAGAAAACAAAAAATATTTGACAAAATTTAGATCTATAAAATTTAACACAGAAGAATTAAAAATGATAGAAATAATAGCAACCAAAGACCTTTTAGAAGGCAAAAGCTATAATTAATAAAGCATGCCATTGTTAAAATAATTTAAATGAAACAATTTATTATAAATTTCAACAGGAATAAAATGAAAATTGAGGAAAATTGGAACAATTTAGCTGTATAATTATATTGATTGAGGAATTTAAAAAAGAAAAGATTAAAAAATGTTTAGATGAGTAAATACATTCTAGATAAGTAGAGGATATGTCTTGTTTTCTGATGAGGAGATTCGATATTCATTACTATATTAGGAAAGTTTGTGTGTATGCAAATATTAACAGACATTTCTGAAGTTTTTATGGAAATAGAAAGGTCTGTAATAAACAACTAAATCCTGAAAAAGAAGAAAAAGCTAGATATTTTCAACAAAGTACTCTCAAAATCTATTGTAAAGTTACAGTGATTATAACAGTATGGCACTAGTGTCAAATCAGAAATTTTCTGGTTTTTAATAGAGAATAAACCAATGAAGTGGAGTCCAGTAAGAGCTCAAATAGATGTGGTTACCTAATTTATGATAAATGTGACACTACGGTCCAAATTGGTAGGATGAATATTTTAATAAATCAAGATTGTCAATTGACTCTTCATTTCCAAATTGTATATTAACCCTCTACCTATCACAATGCACAAAAGTAAATTTCAGATTGAATGCAGATCTTCACGTGAAATGAAAAAGTATAAAACTTTGATTTAAAATATGATAAATATACCCTTAGATTAGACAGAAACTTTTAAAACACAAAAATTACCAAAAGATTACCAAAAATGGTAATTTGTCTATGTTAAAGTGAATATTTTTGATCACAAGACAACACTGAAGGAATAAAGTGGAGTCTATAAGGAAGGAAAAGATAATGGCAGCACATACCTCTCATGATAAATGAATAACCAAAATACATTAAAAAAAATACTTGTCTAAGTTAAAAAAGCCAATTCAAATTGATCATTTGTCAAGACATAAAGCAATTCTGATTGGATATATCCAGGTAACTAAGAGGTATCATAAAAAGGGTTCAATATTATTGTTAAACGAAGGTATACTAAAATCTCAGTGTTACCACTGTACCTAAAACCAAATGACGAAAATGAAAAAAAGACACTATGAATTATTAACAATGATGTGGCAAAGCCAGAAATCTCATTCTCTTGTTATAGGAGTGACACTGATTCAAATATTTTGGAAAATTAATTGGCACTACCAATTAATTGATTGGTAGTACTTATTACCACCAATTAATAAGTTGGGGATGTATATACCTGTGACCAAAACAGTCTATTTCTAGGTATACAAACATCGTACTTTGGGTAATCCAGAAGCCAACAATGAGATGAAGTTTACTGTGGAAATGAAATCTGGGGTGTAACAAGTTTATATAAATCAATTCTTAGAAAGTAGGAGACAGATTTGGGCAAAAGCAGGAATTGAACTGCAAAGCAAATTTGATAAAGCCTCAACCGAGCCTTATGGAAAGCTCCGAAGGAAGAAGTTCCTGCCAAAATTGTCTCCTGATGGCCTGAAATAGCCCAAGCCTCTGTATTCTCACCTCTCTGTGCTCAGTAACCAGATGCAGGGTAGTGACCACAGACAAAGCCGCTCTCTGTACCTGGGGTTGATTCTGAAGGGGCTGACAGTTGATGGTTGTTTGCTGACCCAATAAAGCTAGCAGCACATCCTGTCTGAATCTGGAAGGATTCATCTCAGTATCTATCACAATATTCAACATATATGCATACACGTATTCACAGGCACACACATACATACACAAACACACACACACTTGTGAAATAGTATTTATGACAGCTGTCTGTATAATAGCTAAAAACTAGATAGAATCCAAACTTTGATCAACAGATGAGTGAATAAATAAGCCCTACTGTAATCAGCCACAAACTATAAATTACTTATTACAATATGGATGAACTTCACAAACATAATATTGAGATAAAGAATCCAGATAAAAGAGTAAATCATGCCTGCGATTCTATTTATGTAAAATCTAGAAAAAAGAACAATTAATTTTGTCATTAGGAAGTTGACATTGAGGAAGTTGACCTTACTGGAAGTGAGTAGAATGGGTTTTTGTTCATTCTGGTAACATCTTCTGCTTTGATTTGGGAGATAATTTATTAATATATTGACTTTGTTGAAATACATTGAGCTATACACTGGATTTTACTGCACATCTTTCCCAACATTTTATTACATTGTCATGCACTCAATGTAGCTAAAATATTTTTACAACAAATACCTATATATTCATCACATCTGTTATACCCTTAACAGTTTTATTATATACAGCTTTCTCACAATAAAATATTTTCAGCCACAATGTGCAGGTTATTTTTTAATCACATTTTATAAATGAAATGGACAATATATTCTTATTTAAAATTTAATATCAATTGTTGTTGGATATTCTTGGGAATTTTCAAATGGCTGGAGTGGTTTTGGTTTGAGGAAAATGGAATATTTTTCATTTTGTCTCTCTTCCCATACACACATGAATGCACACACACCTAGTGGGTCTGTGTGTATATATATACATAAGCCTTTATATTAGAGGACAT